TAATATTGACTCTACAAATAAGACTGTGGAATCAGAATATGACATTTATACCAAGACACTGATAATAATTTCAATGAAATGGCAAAATTAGCAGAAAAGGCAAACCACTGAATATTTCAGAAGAAAGGTAAAACAGAGGGATGTCCCTCAGGAAGCAGAATGGCTTTTTTAAAAAGGGTTTCTTCTGACTGGAATTTATATTTTGTATATTTTTTCAAAATCATTTGAAAGGCCTTTCAGATGCTGCCACCTTAGCTGCTGAGATATAATCTTTTGCATTTCACCCTGTGAGTCCCCTTTTTGTCCCACAGTGTAATCTGATCCACCTGTCACCATCAGGGGACATCTGGGATCCATCTTATCTTTCCCACTAGCTAGCTGATTAACCAGAAAATGTTTTGAATTGGACTCTTATATGGCAGGACTCCATGGACTTTATGAATTATAATAGAAACATATAAAAGGCCAGATTTTATTTTTGTGCTTTTAAAGAAGAAAACTCTTAACACTGTTAGGATTGAATGCTTAAAAATTGGAGAGAAAAAATATATTGTATTAAATGGCAAAATACAGTAATTCATTGGATTATCTGACTATTTTTAATAAAATACATTTTTTTCAGAGCGAGAAAGTTCTAGCTCAGTAGCCTGACCCAGAGTTGCCAATCCACAGATATATTACTGTTAGTTGAAAATAAACAGAAGGCCAATAAACATTATTTTGCTCTCTCTTGCTTTATTTCTGCTGGATGGTACATCTGGAGATATATGAGAGGCTGGAAGGTGGAGTCTTTAGTTCAGTGCATCCTTCCCAGAGCATGTTTTGTGCCAGGTCCTTGTGCAGGGGGTGTGTGTGGGGGGGATGTGTTTGATTCAAATAGCCATTAGACTTCCAGAGATTTTAATTGTCTTCATCATTGTTACCTACTAGAGACCCATTGCATGAAGATTCATGCAAGAATAGGCATTCCTTCCCCTGGCTTCGCTCCAGGCCACCTGGGAGTCTACAAGTCCTCACTCCCAGCTGAGTGCTGCTCCTGTAGCTCCCTCCACCCCCTCCCCTCTCCCTCATAGCAGGCATCCCACCCTGCCTGGCTGCTCCATGCCTGCATATGTAAATTAACCCACCAGCTTTGCTGGGTTAATTTGCATATTCACTCCTAATTGGCTGATGGGTGTTGTGGAGGTATAGTCAATTTGTATATTTTCCTTTTATTAGTATAGATGAGGCAAGTTCAGTGCCTAAACATATACATAATTATTTATTTGTTTTAATTATCCAAAGTGAAAACTCTTGATTTCCTACCACTAAGGTTTTATTGGAACAGAAATCTCACATTGTATATATTCCGTACTTTCTACATTCAGTATACCCTAAGGGAAACCAACTGTCTTGGTCAGAACTAATGACTTGTGTGATCATAAAGCATCTCTTCAGAAGCTGACATTTCAAAAGTGATGCCCAGGATAAGGTGCTAAATATTTTTCAAAGCAGTTAGAACATCAGTTTCTAAATCTGACTTTTAGGAGGATCAGGAAGCACAGTGGTTTCATGGACTACATTATTATTTAAAACTTTGTATGTGGTGAATCTGTACAAAGAAATTCTGCTGTGATTATACCTGTGGGACAAGAGTCTGTGATGACTGCTTGGGTTTCCACTTCTGCAGCTGGGTGATCCCAGAGGCATCGGGAGTTCAGCAAGTGTCTCAAACTATGCTTGGGATGTTTTGGATTCAACAAAAGAAACTTTTGCCAAACCCTTCTTTCCTTAATTTTCAAACGTGTATTTCAAGGGAAATTTGATTCATATGTTTCTAATTCATTTACACTTAAATCATCAAAATGTTATTTTGTAAGAGCCACTTGATGTCCAAGAAGCTTTCTAAACCTGTTTTATAAGTCTTCTCAAGTCCTTTTTCTTAAAACAGGAAGTAGCATTTTGCCAAGTACAAATAAACTCAAACATTAAAAAGGTTCAAGTTCAGTTTCTAACTCTGAACTCCAGGCTTTAAGTGCATTCTCAAATTAGCAAAATATAGTTACCCACCCCTATGGGGAAAAAATGGCTAGAAGGAAAGGCGGTAGTGATAAAAATTAAGTAAAGTTATTCACATAAATTATCCTCAGAGATGTATCTTCAGTTGTGAAAGTTCATAAAACCTATATAAACAAGTTATAGCTAATAGATGAATAGGTGCAGGTGAGTTTTGAACAGGAGTAATTGTCTGCTTGTTGGTTCTCTGTGATGTGTCTAACCAAGTTTACTGCTTCTGTCACAGAAAAGAAAACATAAAAGTTCAATTATTTTAATTTCACGTTTTACTAATTTTACCTTTGAGTCTTATGTATTTTACTAAAGGTGGGAAGACTCACATATTTTGTTGAACAAAAAGGACTCATGAGAGACACTATGGGTGTTTTATGTCTGCACTAAGATGATGTAACATCAAATTAAAAATGTAATTGATACTGTTTTCTTGGAATTGGATAAATGCAGAAAATTCTCTCTGTGCATACCAAGACATCTCTTAATTAGAGATTGTCAATATTACTGTAATGCAGAGGTAATTCAGCCTAACCCAGAATTCCCTGTTGTTGGTTCACTTGTATTTATAGATAAAGAAGGCGAAGGTAATTATGAGAGGGGCCGAGGTCCATTCTAAACAATTTCCTCTATGTTATGTTTTATTGGGGATTTCAGTATTTCTTCTGTGCTACAGAGTAGTCAAGTGATTCTTGGGATGAAAGGTAATATGCAACTGAAAACAATTTATTTAAATACTAGAGGCCCAATGCACAATTCTTGCAAGGGCCTGGTCCCCCCATCGCCACGGTGGCTGCCTCTGCCTCTGCCCCCACCTGCTGTGGCTTTGTCTGGAAGGAAGGATGTCTGGTCTAATTAGCATATTACACTTTTATTATTTTAGATTATTAATTAAACTATCAGTTCCCCGTGGAAGCTCTCATGCAATGGCCACCAGTGGCCACCACTGTATGAAGTTGGTTTTATTAAACTTGCAAAGCAAGGGGTCCCTGTAGTGTCTCATATGAAAATTTGGGGACAAGGACTGTAGAGTTTGGGGGCTGTAGTTAATCATAGGATTCCTTTAGGACAGAAGCTAATAAGTGATGTTTAGGCAGAGACTGGTAGGATTTGTCATCTAGGAAAGTTGCATTTTTGTTGTTGGAACATAAATCCAAAGAATTAATGTTAAATCCTTTTGTTTGTACTTTTATCTTGGAACACATAGTCTGAAAAGAGCTGGTATTGAAACACTGAAGTTCAGCTAGTTGTGTTACCTATCGTACAAAATACCTGTGTTGTGATTCAGAGCATAGTTATGCAGGTTGTGGTTTTCATTTTATTTCTCACAACAAACAAGTAAATATCACACAATGTGTAACACATTTGTCTTTTTTAAACTTTTAATATGTAAATCATCCTGTACGAAATTAATAAGTAATGAATTTTAATTTTACTTTTCTCAGGCAATATTCAAAATCATATATGCCTTGTTGGGTATCTATATCTATATTTATATCTATATCTGTTTCTATATCTATGTTTAAGAAATTCTCCTTCTTTAATACTATGTATTAACTCTGAGAATTTATGTAATACTAGCAATAATATGCCTTTGAGAGTTTATATTATATTTTGATCTATTTTTGTTATGCCCCCCTCTTGTCAAAAAAAATTATGCTTCCCCAAATATTACAGCCTACTATGCTATTTAAATACCACTAAAATGTGTTTAAGTGTCAAAAATCCCATTTTATAGATTAATGCTAATCTCAGAATGCTTATTTAAATGTGAAGAGTTTTTCACAGAAAGAAAATTTGTGTAAAAGAACTCTCAAAAATGATAAAGAGCACATGCTCATTCTGTATTTCAGATACAAACTGGGATAAAAGCCTTTCCACAGATGGATAGTCTGTGTAGTTCATCCTAATCTGAACACAAGGTGAAAAAAACGGAGCTATCAAAAATCCTGTACAAGAGATAGCCAACATTTGCCTTAAAGTTAAATTATAGTTGCTTTCAAGTTTATAATTTACTAGATAATAGGGATTGCTATAGGTTTACATTTTAAAAATGCCCTTTATAAAATGTATATTGAAACATTCTTGTTTTCCTCTGGTCTTTGCCAACATTATTTAATACTCAAATTCAGAAAAATCTCATTCTCCAACTCTTTCTCTTCAGTGGCTTCATTAAATAGTATTAGCTACCATGTACTGTCTTTCTTGTGCCAGTACTTGGCCAACATGAGCTCATGAAATGCTCACAATGAATGACGTTGAGAACTGAGTGCTATTGTTGCCTCTGCTCTGAACACAAGGAAACCTAGACTCAGACAGTCCCATGCTATGTAGCCACATTCTCATCTGAAGAGGCAATCTGTACTTTTCCACTCTGCCATGCTGTCTTAAGCTAAAGAAATCCATGTATACATGCTAGTTTCGCTGTTTTGTCCACTATGTTCAACTGTAAATACTGTGCACCCTAAGTATTAGAAAGAAAAAACCACACAAAAAACTCATGAACAACCCACAAAAATTTTTGAGTGAAATTATAACTTTTTGCTGTTTTTGAGCTAAAATATTATCATAGCTCTTGAAATCAAGAGATGCTTTCAGCTAACTCTCTGATTTTACTAAATCCTAGCTAAGTTATAAGGAAATAAAAATGATATTGTAAGATAGAAGAATCCATGGGGCCACTAAACATCTTTCCGAAAATGTTTCAAGGTGGTTACTTTCCCAACTAATATCAATCAGATCTATTTCAAGCTGGCTTCTTTCCCATTTAACTTCAGTCAGAAAATGTATTTCAATCTGATTGCTTTCTCAAATCTACACATTCTTAGGGTCAAATAATCATATGACATCTTGGGTGATATAACCAGAATATTTGCTTTGTTTTCTAAGACTTTGAAAGACCACATGAGTGCCTTTCTCAGCCTGTATTTGTCCTTTTCCACTTTGTTCTCCAGGACTGCCCACCAGAAGCAGGTGATTTCCGAGCTCAGCAATGCTCAGCTCATAATGATGTCAAGCACCATGGCGAGTTTTATGAGTGGCTTCCTGTGTCTAACGACCCTGACAACCCATGTTCACTCAAGTGCCAGGCCAAAGGCACAGACCTGGTTGTTGAACTCGCTCCTAAGGTCTTAGATGGGACTCGTTGCTACACAGACACTCTGGATATGTGCATCAATGGTTTATGCCAAGTAAGTACTGGCTTCTTTTCATTCTTTTTCTAGAGGGTTTTTGTGTCTTCATGTAAATACCTTTTCTATCGCCCTGCTATCTGGATCACTCAGCACTGCTTTTTTATTGCCTTTATAAAGACTGACAGATTTGAAAATTGAGGTTTAATTTCAGTTAAACTACCAGTGTATTTTGTGTTCAGAAAACATAGGCTAGAATTTTGTTTTTTATTTCCTTGAGTCTCACTTGAATATGGAAGAATAGAAATTCTTTAGTATTGTATATCATTTTTGGACTAGACTCTGAAATTGTCTCTATTTTGGTTGTCCCTAAAATATGTTTCATGTATGAGTATTTGGAGGCATCTATTTTCATTGACTTAGAGCTTCAGAATAATGCAGATGAAGTGGACTGAAAACCTTGTTTCTTTATTGTAACTGTAATTTTGTTGAAAATTCAGGCAAACTGTCCAGAAGAACTTGGCAGCGTCAGCTAGGTCAGATGTCATCCAGGTAAATCATTAAAACAGAATGGCAAAGGAGTTTGATTTCTGATATCAATGTGTCACTGTCTACTTTAGGAGGGGAGTTAGGCAGGTGAAGGAGAGTTAATATGATTGCCATCTTGATTTTAAAAGTTGACTCTTCGGATTAGGATGACCAGCCTACTTTTTGGACAAAGCAGTTGCTGTATTGTCTTGTGTGATGTATATACTTCACTATACAATTTCATATCTCACAACATAGACATTTTGAGAACCTTTATCTCTCTCTCCCAGGAAGACATGGGTGGGATTTTTCTCTCTTCAGAATTTCTAATATCACAAGTAGCAATACAAGAATTAACATAAAATATGTCTCCTTAGTCATTTGTTGTTTCAAATTCACAGGTTTATTTAAAACTTAAATCTATATTCAGATACAAAAGAAATAACTGTAGTGTGAATTACTACAAGAGATGTGGAGTGGCCTGCAAGGTATCATGTCCATGGGAGGGAAATAGACAGTCCAAACCTTCATGAGGTCTAGAATCCTGAGACAGGGACATGTTGGCATATCTAAACACTTCTCAGGAGTTGGGGGTATTGTTTATATATTTGAACTTTTCTTTATATACAAGAAATATGTAAAATTCAGATATAAATTTGAATATAGAACCTTACTATTTTAAAGCTAAGAAAAGCCTGTAAGTTTATCTAATGTAAAAGGCAATATATTTGAACATCATTTCTTATATTTGGTGTTTGCTTCCTTCTCTAGAATTCTCCATGTTATTGAAATGAAATTATCCTATCTCATAGAAGAGTAATATGCAAATTGACCATCACTCCAACACATAAGATGGCTGCTCCCATGTGGACATAAGATGGCCGCCACAAGATGGCCAGTAGGGGAGGACAGTTGGGAGGGAAAAGGTCTGCAAGGGAGGGCAGTTATGGGCAATCAGGCCAGGACGGGAGGGCAGTTGGAGGTAATGGAGCCTATAGGGGAGGGCAGTTAGAGGTGACCAGGCCAGCATAGGAGGGAAGTTGAGGGTGAATGGCCTGCTGGGGAGCGCAGTTAGTGGCAATCAGGTTGGTAAGGGAGCAGTTAAGAATCAATCAGGCTGGCAGGGAAGTGTTTAGGGGTGATCAGGCTGGCAGGCAGAAGCACTTAGGGGAAGTCAGGAAGGTAGGCAGGTGAACAGTTGGGGGCCAGTAGTCCTGGATTGTGAGAGGGATGTCCGACTGCCCGTTTAGGGCAATAGGATCTCAGTAGGATCAGGCCTAAACGGGCAGTTGGACATCCCTCGAGGGGTCCCAGATTGGAGAGGGTGCAGGCTTGGCTGAGGAACAACCCCCTTCTGCCCCCGTGCATGAATCTCATGCACCAGGCCTCTAGTGTGGTCCATAAAAGCTTTGAGAATAATGGAGAATTGAAAAGCATAGAGAAAAGGAGCTATGTTGTTGGGAATGGCAAATAAAATAGTAATAATTCCTTATGTATGTATATTGTTTGAATAAATCAAGACAGATTTCAATTTTATAAATTAAAAAAAATGAGGACAAGAGAAGTTGTATGATTTTCTGAAAGTTACATAGTTGGGCATGGCAGAAATGGGACTAAACGTTAAAGTTGTTTGAGCTATATCATGCTGAAGAATTAACCAAAATAAACAAGACAGGTCAGTAAACTAGGTTTCATTTGTTTCTGTTTGCCTGGGAGTTCAACGAGGTATGTCTTTCCCCTAGTCCAGTGTTTCCCAAAGTGTGGTACCCGTACCCCCAGGGGTACGGGAAGAGTTTGGTGGGGGTACGTGTTGCACCGGAGTTTGGTGGGGATATGCACTGCACTGTGCTTAGCTGCGAGTAATTCTACGTTTTCATGAATACGAGGAGTACTCAGCATTACGAAAATTATAGAAGGGGTACACATATGTCAAAAGTTTGGGAAACACTGCGCCTAGTCTAATCCTGCCAGCCGGCTTCGTTTACCTTGGCAACCGAAAGGAAATCTTATATCAGCAGCAAAAAGAATGAATTTTATATATAGTAAATATGAAATGATAGTGCTAGACTTTTGGTTATAAATATAAGCATACCTCCTTAACTTAGATTCTTATGAGTGTGACTTGTTAGATTTAGAGGAGAATGTAAACTATACAATAACTAAAGAATTGTGACATACATAGTATTTATATTCAGTTATCATTATTGTCTTCACTTGTCTTATTAGAGGCGATGAATGGTGATGAAAAACACAGGTTTCATTAAGTCACTAACAAGCCTCTTGGCTAGGGAGCAGGGTGTCCCCAGGTACACCGGGAGAGAAGAGTTGGGGAGGAAATCGAGGATGCACACAGGACTCTCATACAGTGTGCGGGCAGGAAAGAGTGCTAGTAGAGAACAGACATACTCATAGCTCAGCTTTAGAAAAATTAATATAGCTGCGTTTATGGGATGCTTGAAATGGAAGGCCCTGGAGGACAAGAGAGCAGCTGAAAAGGATGCTCTGAGCAGCCGAGGTGAAAGCAGGCAGGAGCCTCAGCCAGGGCAGAGACAGCAGGTGCAGAGAGGAAACTAAGTCTCAAGCCAGGAAGGCGTTTGCCTTTTGATCATAGCTAGGGTGGAGGGTACAAAGCAATACATAAAATCAATCATGCTCAGGGGATCAAAAACTACAACTGATATGAATTGGTAATGGACACAATTTTTAATCCTTGCTCCCATTACCATAATAGTCTTGTGTTTTTGTTTTCAAAACATACTTGAATTCTATGAAGTAAAGGAAAAGAAAACAGCAAGATGATTGTGGAATAAAGGTAGAATTTTGAGGTAGAATACTGCTACCTCAAAAGAATTTAAAAATGTCCTTTATTTAAATGTTATCTGTTTATTGGTAATTAGTATGTTCAGGCTTTGGTAAGAATTAAGAAAAAGCCATATTTTCATATTTTTAAACAGTCAAAAATCGTAATGCTAACTTAAGTATGCAGTTTTTATAAACAGCTTTTCCTAGTTCCCTGAAAAATTAATTTCCCTGAGCTATTTTTCCATCTCTTCCGTTTCTACCCCATATTTTTGCTCTTTCTGGTTTTATTTTAGTCTTATAATTTTTTGTATTGCCTCAGACATTTTTTAAGGAATATACAACACAGTTTTTCTTTTATAAATAATAAGTGATTGAACACACTCATAAATTAGCACAGATGAAACTTATGGGAAAATTATACTAGGCTGTTTGTTTGTTTTGATTCTTTATAAGAGTATAATAATTATGGAAGACAGTTGACCTGTTGACTTTGATAGTAGTACTTGAAGAATACCATGGTAAAATACATGTGTTAATAAATAAATAAACAAACAAATAAAGCACATGTGTTTGTGTAATTACACATAGAACAAAATCTGGAGGAAGATATTCCTGAGTGTTAGTAATTACTTCAGAGGCATTTGATATCTTACATTTCTTCATTTTAATACTGTTTCCATTTTTTTTAGGCTAAGTAGATAAAAATTATAAACTGTAAAGAAGCAAGCATTTAGATTTGGACATAGTCTGACATTGATAGAAAATGACAGCATAATTGTAGATATCTTTCATTTATAAGCACCAATTATTTCAATTATACCTGTTTAATACTCAACTGAGAACCACTTTTTCAAAATTGGGCTTTTAACACAACCAAAACTATGGAATCTTAGCCTTTTTGACACTTTAGTAGTGATCAGATATAGCTATTTCACAGAGAAGAAATTGAGGCGAAGAGATACCCAGGGTCATGAATGAGTGTATTACTTATATTTGTTGTGAATGTGCTTCAGGAACATTATAGAATCATTCTTATTTATAATTTATATCTTCTTTCTTTCTTTCTTTCTTTATTTATTTATTTATTTTTAGAAAATCATACTAGACAGTAAAATACCTCCCATTTTGTTTTTATTGACATATCTATAATAAAAGCGTACTATGCTAAGGGTCTGACCTATTGGTTGATCGTTTGGTCAACCCCTCGACCAATTGCTATGACGCACATTAACCTCCAAGGGGCACATCCGATGACCGGTAGGTTAGCTTGCTGCTGGTGTCCAGTCGATTGGGAGTGGGGAAAATGGCCAAAATCGGCACCTATCGTGGCCAGGCCAAGGGACACCAATCGTGCACAAATTCGTGTACCTAGCCTTTAGTAACATTATATTAGTTTCAGATGTACAACATAATGATTCAATAAATGTACATGTTGCAAAATGATCACCACAATAAATCTAGTTAATTCATCACCACACATAGTTGCACATTTGTTTTTCTTGTGATGAGAATTTTAAGATCTACTCTCTGAGCAACGTTTAAAATATGATCAAGTAATGTTAGCTATAATCGTCATGCTATACATTACATCCTCAGAATTTACATATTTTGTAAGTAGAAGTGTGTTCCTTTTGACCACCTTTATCCATTTTTGCCCCACCCCACCCACCTCTAGCAGCCTCCATACTGTTTTCCATAGTGGTTGCATTAATTTACATTCCACAAATAGT